GTGGTGAGGGGGATGCAAACAAGGTCTCACACCTTTTTGTGAGTGTTCGGTAGATAATAACTCTGCGAGGCGGGGGCCGCCAAGAAAGAGTGTGGGAATGGGCTATCCAGCTGTTTCCTCGGGCGGGTGACCCTGGTTGAATCCACTGTCCCTCGGGTGGCGAAATGGCACCCTGGCTGCTCCCCGTCCTGCTGGTTCGCGAGGGGTTAAGTTCAGGCCTGGCTGTTCCTGCTCGTCTAGGAAACATAGGAGGTGGGCGCGCTAGGGGACAGACGCTTCGATCCCGGGTCTGAAATATTATAATGAAAGAAACAAAGAAACAAGTCAATTCAAAAAAAAAGATTGGTCTTCTTCCTAGAAGGAGAAGCAGGGCTCTATCTGGGCCGAGGGGAAGAGAGCTGGAGGAAGGAAACACCCCGGAGGAAGACGGGGAGCCGTGGGGAGACGTGCGGCCCCATGGGGGGGAAGCCGAGGGAGGGAGAACCCCAGGGCCACGGGGCGGGAAGGTGGAGGGAGCTGTCGGCCACAGCACGGCACCCGCTTCCCCTGCTGGGAAGTGCCCCGGGGCAGCCTGACTCCACGGCTCCTGCAAACACAGAAGAGGTTTCAGAAAGGGGTGCCCCTGGGGACCAGGAAGGCCACCGCTGAGGGGGCTGTATCGGGAACATGGACGAATCTGAGGGGTCCAAAGAACGTCATCCCTCCCTCACTTCTGCAGCCTGTTTCCACGTGACCACAGCGGCTGTGGGCCAGGTGTCCGACCCAATTTAGCTAAAGGGAATCAAGCGAAGACAGACAGACGTAGGATACCGCGGAGGCAGGGTTTGCGCTCCGGGCGTGGCTGGCGGTGGCCACTTACCGTCCTCACCCCAGTCTGATTGGATTCAAACCACAGTGCCCCTCATTCTAGGGCAGACTTCGGGGGGGCCTGGCAGCCAGGAACCACCTGACCCTTGCTCTGAAGTGTGGTTGCTATGCAGGGTCCGGGGGACGGGAAAGACCCAAGTACCTGGACGTAGCTGTTAGACTTCTGGATTCGCACCCTCATTGCCACGTTCACAGCTAGTAAGCCAATGTAACGACCTCTCTTTTCCCAAGATAAAGCCCCCGCGTTTTCTAGAAACACAAGTATAATGAATCATAGGAGCTTAAAAACAGGAGTCTTGTCTTCACTGAAGTTCCAAAAGCCTTTCCCCCACCGGGGCGGGGGCGGAGGGGGTGGGGAAATGGCGGGCAATTTCTGTTATTTATTTTTTTAAGCAAGGAGCTAAGAATTTCAAAAAAAAAGTAGCCAAAACCCAATTCCAAACCTTCGTTTAACACCCACAAGAGGGGTGCAGACGTGCCTCAGGCTTGGGAGAGACCAGGAACTCCCGAGCGCGTGCTTGGAATGGTGTTGGTATTTCACTGCCTGCAGGCTGCAAGGCAAAGCGTATTCCCCATCGCCTTGAACTGAAGGGACCACCCAGGACCCTTGACGTATGTTTGTCCTTTGGATTTGGAAGGGGCCGGCACAGCGGCGCGGGGACTGGGCTCCACTGCGAAATGGCCGCACGACCACAGGCAGGGCGCCGGGGCCAGGGTGGCTCCCCTTGGGGTGCAAAGCGGGCCAGGCACCGTTTTCAAATCCTATCCAGGAAAGTCTCTGGTGGGGGACGCGGGCCTGGGGAGGAGCACTTGTCTGCAAAGGAATACGGAACTGCAGGCGTAAGGACACGTTTTGCCTGTGGCTTAGAGGTGCAGCCGGGCGTGCCCGCTGGAGACATTGAAGAGCCTCAGTAGCACCGCCCGGCCCGGTCGGCCCTGAGGGACCGCCAAGCTCAGGGCGTGCCGCCACCCGACCCCACGCAAACCAAGGCGCTTGGGCGAGAACCGAGGCCAGGAGGGGGCTGCGCTGCGGCAGCGGCTCAAGGCTTGAGTTTTCACTCGGGCGATGGTTTTTATTCAGCGGTTCTTTTTGAATCTGGGGCTCTCAGGTCTTAGAAGTCGTTGGAGAAACATCTCTCTCGCTTCTCCCCGCAGCCCCTGGCCTCCCAGGCTCCCCTCCAGCCGCTCGGCCTCGAGGGACAAGTTCCGGCGTCAGCGGCATGCGTGATGGGGCAGGGGTAGTGGTTCCTCTGGTGTCTCCATCCTGACAAAGGGGCTCGACTTAGCAGCCACGCGCTCCCTTCCCCCATTCTTCCCGCACCTCCATCCTCTGAAATGCACCTTGGATTCGTCGTCTTTCTGGAAGCCTCTGGGATTTTCCCCACCCCCAGGACTCTGCTGGCTCCTTCTGCGTATCTCTGTGGCTCAGCAGGCGGGGGCGCACCCTTCACCCTGGTCCCTCCCAAGACACTATAAATTCCTTGAGGGCAAGGATTCCATCTGAGTTGTTTTTCAAGGGCTCAGGGTTTCAAAACCTTCTCGGCACATTGCGCGTGCGCAGTTAGTCTGTTGAATCAATGCGCGCTTCTCGGACGTGTTGAATGCAGCCTGTTTACCTTCCCTGGTTTCTTGGGGCGCCTCGACAATTTCTGTTTCAGTGTGTGTGACTTGAAAGTCGCTCCTGTTAACGGGAGGACGATGGAGAACATTCCAAAGGGAGGCGGGAATGCAGAAAAGAGGTAGATTTGTTTCTCGGTGCTCGGTAAAGATAAGGACATCAGGACGCTGGGGTTTGGGGGTACAAGAACAGGGATTCCTAAATTCGAGGGGAGCCAGCATGCTTTGCCATGAAGTTGCTTGGGGTAGGGCTGTTTTAACAAGGTTTACGTTTAAAACAAACAGAAAAACTAGGTTAGCATATTTCTTCAACTTTATCAGAAGAAAGCATGGGTGAGCTTCCCAACATTTGGGAAGAATTCATAGAAAACCCGAAGGTTATGGCCTATCACCCTCAAAGTGCTCCAGGGTAGTAGCCAGACCCTAGAGAGCGGTGCCTTAGGGTTACTCCCAAGCCCCCCGTCCCCACCACCGGTTCCTACCATGAGCCTGGGGGCCATCCTCCAAACAGCCAGATTTTCCGAGTAGATTTCACTTAGTCATGTTCAAATCGTCATCTGTGAAATTTTCATTTGGAGATACACTTCCATGATGGACTCGGGCAAAGGGACCCATCAAAATGGTCATCGAACAGATGGTCAAAGCATCAGTCAAGTTAAGTTTGATTAAGATGCCCAGGTGATTCTTTGCAGTAGATCGCTAACGTGCAAAGAACGGCTAAATTAAAATCCCACGTTTGTATATTTCAAGTCCTCATTGGCATCCTTAAAACGGTTTGAGATAATCCATTCTCTGAAGCCTGAGAACTTTTTAAATAAATGTTCATTCTATCAAGCACAAATAGTGTTCAACAACCAAGAGGAAATGCGCTGAAATGAGTTACAGTTTATAGAAGTGGTTAAAAAATTGGGATAGCCACCTCATGAATTGTACGATGAGAATGTAACTTACTAAGTACAGGCAAAAGGAATGTTTTGCCAGTTTCTTAGATAACTTAAAACGATCCAAGGACCAAGTCTAAAATTCTAAGAGGACGATTGGATTTCAGATTTGTCACATTCTTTGTAATTCTCAAGAACCTCGTTCAAAAGTTGTTTCCTCTCTCTCTCGGGAACATATAGATGATCAAACCTGTATGAGAAGAGAACCTCACTCCATCCTTCGATGAGCAATGAATGTTGTCTTGGGTAGTTCGGGGCGGATGAATTCTATAACGGCCAATGTTCCCTGGTCCCAAATAGTTGACCAAGTATTTGGGGGTCCTCAGTGAATACTGAGAGGATGTTTTGTCCCCAAAGATGCTCAGACCCTTGCTCCGTGTGTTGCAAGGAGAGTCCCCAAGTACAGACTGTGTCTCCAGCACCCAGCAGAGGGCTGGAAACATAGTGAACAGCCGAACATGAGGCAGAGGGTTTGAATGTGAGTTTATGCTGGTAAATTTGGATCCCCTCAGCTATTCAAAATGCACCATAATAAAAAATATCTATCAGGCCTTGTATCTCTTACAGCTCTGAGTTTTGGAAATAAGTCTGGGCAAGGTCAAAGACTACCTCCCTCTCCCATGATAGGTCAGTTTAGGCTTTGCTCTGGTCCTGATTTAATGCTGTCATGGACCCCACGAGGAGCGCTGACGATCAGTTGCTGAGCTAGGCTGCTGCTGGAGGTGGCCCTAGGCAGCCCGGTCAGAAGTTTCTCTGGGAGTCCTAGCTTGGAGGAAAGAGAAGGCAATTCATTTCCTAAGCCCCAGGGTTCTGATCTGCGTGCTTCCGGATGAACAATTGCAATGAACAGCAGACACGAAGACTTCACATTTGGACCCCTTGCCTAACAGCACAGTTACTTCAGGGTGAAAACCACAGATAATAGGGTTAAAATCTGGTTTTAATCGCAGCCTCTGTGTTCCCACAAAACTGCAGGTAACAAAATTCTATGATGATTTTTTATAATGATTTCTTATACGCCTAGCTTCCTTGCTCAACAGTGAATATCTTGGAGTAAGCACTGTCTTCTTTGTCTTAGACACTTTTGCATCATTTCACAAGCTGAGTTTTTCGTATAGCCAGACAGCAGAAACTTAAGTAAATTTGTATTGAATTAACACACAGTCAAATCGGAGCTCGCCGTAATGTCAGATATTGACTTGTCATTTGCATATCCAATAATCTTTGCCACTCCTCATTGACAGCAGGATGTCAATTGTTCAGCGAGATCAATTAGGACCTAGGTCAGCCGTAGCTGTCTGTATACATGTCTGAAAACGCAAAAGTTGCTGCTAATAAAGTTTGGAATCCTCTCGTAGTAGAAAGTTAGCCAGAATAATGTTCGTAGCAAGAGAACATCCGTTCTGTTCCAGTCCCAGGTGCTTTTGGAGCTTCAGGTGTGGGTGCAGATCTGGCCAAGTCCGAGAACCACACCACATACAGCAGTCTTAAAAATGACACAGCAAGGCATCCCAAAACCCCAATCACAAAGACACGAATCGCTTAAGGAGGGTAGAGCCCAAGTTCCTGAGGAGCATGCACTACGCCAAGAAGCACCAGAAGAGCCTGAAAAAGATGCCCACCAGAAACACCAAGGCCGTGGGTGCACCTCCTGAGCTGCCAAGGCCTCATAAGGCCCAAGGGGGTCAAGCCCAAGGTCCCAAAGAGCGGCAGCCACAAACTCAACGGACTTGGCCGGCACGCCCACTCCAACCTTGGGAAGCATGTTCATGCCTCCGTAGCCTGGGGTCTCAAGCTGTGCCAGCCCAAGGCCAAGGCCAAGGCTCAAATCAAGCCCCAGGTGGGGGCTGCAGCTCCGGCTCAGGCTCCCAAGGGTGCCCAGGCCCCCACGAAGACCCCACAGTAGAGGCCCGTGTCTGCCAATGTGAGGACAGAAGGACAGGCGTGACCCCTGGGCTGCTGTCCCCACGGGGCTGGGGTCCTCCTGTGCTTTTCGTAAAAATAAACCTGAGGCAGGAAAATGAACAAGAAAACATCCCGTTTTTAAATTCAATAGAAGAGTTGAGGACTATTAATTATTTTTTAAAAACAGTATATGAAGAAAATATAGACAACGGTATGGCCTCAGCTCGGGGCCGTTTTCCCACGCATAAAACCATTGAAGACATCCTAAAGGAAAATCTGGATAAACTTGCTTCCATAAAACTGTTAATATTTATTCCAAAAGGCAAAAAAAATATTAATTTTCTATCACCAACACTGCTCTATTAAGGGGATTGGCACAAATGTGATTTTTTAACAATTTTTCATCAAATTCGTAAGAGTGTAAAATCTTACGAGTGAGTTTTAAACAGAAATGTACATCTTTGACACGGTTTCACAAGCAGCATGGAAAGCGACATCTTGATTGCATGTCTCCTGAGAGTGAAATAATCATTTGAGTTTGTTTGTTTAGAACTCCTATTTACTGTTCTGGTACATTTAGGAGTGACTGGTACTGCATTTTTTAATGTACATCTGTGTTTCCCAACCCTACTTACAATAACCAGGTGACCGACTTTCCTACGGAGGATGCAAATGAGGCCTCACGTGACAAACAATTTCAAGCAGGGATACACTTTCGAAAGTTTGAAAAAGCCGTGTTTGTTCTGCCACGTCTATGTGACCTCTCTGTATATAATTTTTTAGCAGTTTCTTTGCTATTCATTACACTGAGTGCGGCAACATGGGTTAATAACATTGTATAGGTTTCAAGTGTACAATTCCATGCTCCACCATCTGAGTGTTCATTGACTTGGCCGCCCACCACCTGGTCAAATCTGCTTTCTCGCGGATGAATACAGACCCCAAAGTCTTGTAGAGTGAAGGTAATGCTCTTTGACAAAATGAACGCTGGGTCTGCTTACAATGCCCCCTTGGAATGTGGATGGCGGGATGTATGCTTTCTTGTCTCGGGGACACAGGACAACACATCATCTCCGTTAAGTGTCTGGTTCAAACCAGAGCCTGATCCCAGAGACGAGAGGTTCCTGGCCAGAGCACTTCACCATAAAAATGACAGGGAGGTAGTCATTTCAGCTTTGCTTCCTCATTGGCCATCCAGCCTTGCCAGGGAGAGCGGAAGCGAATCAGACTGTCCTCTTACGGGATATTAATGATACGAAGGGTCTTGGAAATGATCAAATTGAATCCCTTTGCTTTCCCAAGGAAACTGAGCCTGAGAGCAGTGGACCCGACGTCTAGAAACTGGTTGAAAATTTTAGTTCTGCTACTTGCTAGGAAGCTGTTTTAAAAACAGATATCACATCCTATGTAAATTACTCTGGACTTTAGAGATAACCATTCCGTGATTATCTCGTGCAAGGCTAGTGAGCCTTACTCAGAATACTCAAAATACTGCAGGGGCTGATGTGAAGCTATTCAAAGACTGTTCGTGCTAACAAACATATACCTATACATCGAGTGCCTTCTGCTCAACACAGTCAGCATAGGACAGAAACGACGACACAATTCTCCAGACACAGGAGAATTTTTCAAGCTGGTCTTAGTTAACTTACTAGGTCTAAACTATTATCATCTTGGATGTTAGGGGACCTCTCTGGGCCTCAGTTTGCTCATCTGTAAAAAGGAATCAGCATAGGTTCCTTTTCCATAAAATACATAGGAATGATCATTTTAGCATTACTGTAAAGATAGAATAAGACAGCCTATGGCAAACACTAATGAGTACTCAATAAATACTCATTGTCTTCTGTGGCCAAGGAGTTAACAAAACCCTCTTTCTTCGCAGGCTTATTGGTCGCTGGCTTAACTTTCTAGCTTTGTTTCACTGGGATAGCCAATAAAGGCAGGAGGTAGTAAAAGGCAGAAAACTGTACTTGAACAACAATTAAAATTTTTAAAAGGCAGGAGGTAAAGTGTTTCTAGGCACCAGCGCTTATGGTTAAAGTATACTTTGATTAGGGAATGGCATTCCTGAATGAAATCAGTGTTGTGACTCATAACACATGGGACTGTATTATTTTTTATAGAAAATTATTCTGTATATTCTGGATATAAAAATACTTCGTAAAAAAATAAAATTTTAATCCTTTTAGGCCTAGGTGTTTTTTAAGTATCTTAGGATTTGAAATTCATTTTGTTTCCGACTTGAAAATAATCTTCCATCTCAGACCACCTCATTGCTGGTTGTATCAAGTGTATTCCCTTGCCAATAATTCTAATAGCATGCCCTAATGAACTCATTTTATCTTTTGGTATAAATCAATTACAATTAAAATAGAGTTTGTTAAATCTCGCCGGAGTATTGTTTCACGGTAAAAACATTTTTACTCAAGAGATCAAGTGTGATTAACTTCACCAAGAAGCTACAAGTTCAAATTATTCTGCGGAAAGGGAAACAGTCACCGGTTCCTTTTTGTAGAATATTTTATTGCCGTTCTAAATACAGGCTGATAAATCTGCATTAGTCTGATTAATGTACTTCAAAGTGAAATTTAAGCGGTTTTTCTCAAGCGTGACTATGAGGGTGAATCCAAGGGGCCCGCACGGGGGCTGTCAAATATGATTCCCAGCACTGCACAGCCTCCTGAAAGAAATGGCCACGGTGTCCGTCTGTGGCTGCCACTTTGCCTTTTGCCCCGATTTGCACTTAACACAGTGCCTTTGACATTGACCCATGTCATTACATGTATTAGTCACTTCCTCCTTTTCCTAGTGCAGAACAGCCGTCCATTATATGTATTCGTGTACCATAATTTTTCTGTTCACTGACTAATGGGCATTTGGGCTCTTTCTAGATTTGGTGACTATGAATGAATTTGCCGTAACCACTCCCATACAGGGAGTTGAGTGGACCTTTGCTTTCACAGGCTCCCAAGTACATCCCAGGAGTGTGGTTGCTAATCATAGGTTCGACTTCGTGAGAAACCGCCTTTTCCACCACCATTACTGGTAGGAAGTCATGATGGTGGGAAAGGAGACCTCTTATAAACTTGCATGGCAAATATAGCATAAATGAAATATTTATGACAGTGCCGTTATTCAACTCTTTGTCAGCACTTGATTGAAGTGGACGCTGGCTTGCAGTGTCCACAGAGCCAGTGTCCACAGCATTATGGATGAGAGGAGACAAATTCACATGGACTACTGAGTCCTATGGAGAAAAAGGGATGGCACGGCCACTCTCTCAAGAGGAGAGCACTCTGACCCTTGCCTTGACAGGCTTTTATTGGGTTCAGTTTGCACAGGAATACAGGGTGTACATGTAAAGCTCATCAAGCATTGTCAGGCAGAAATGATTAAACAATAGATAACATTCAAAGAACTCTGAGGGCTTGTTCTGAGTCAGGGTCAGATAGTTAAAGGGCCGTAAAACTTTGGGGGACAAACTCACTTCAAGCTTGGACCCTTATCATTTAAATTGAGGGTATTAGCAAAGTAGGTTTCTTAGGATTTTAAGCATTCTTTCTTAGGCCTGGTTTCCCCAAGGAACCCACCCTTTCCAGCACAGGGCCGCACCCACCTCTGGCACTGTTTCAGACTTAAGTCAGGCAGGGGAAGTAAGGCAGCCAAGAGATTAGGAGACTTCTGGAAGACAAAATGAGGACTCAGGCTGTGTCAAAGCCGAGGGGTGAAGGTCCATCACCCCTTTTTTCTATAGTCCCCCAAGTCCTTCCTTGAGGGCCCCTTTGTGACCATGCCTGTCTTAGGTCGTCCCTCCTTTGAGGAATCTTACCCATCATTGGCTATCCAGTCATCCATCCAGGGCCAAGCAGGGTGAGGTGAAAGGGGGCAGAGGCGGTGTCCCTACAAGGAAGATATAAGCTTTGTCTCCTTAGTGGCTTATGGTCCCAAGGTCTTTTTACTCAGCCTTAGCCATGGGGCATTACAGTTTCTGAAACCAGGCAGGGTGCTTCCCAACACTTGGTATTGTCAGCATTTTTCTTGGTGTTTTGAGTTCTTCTAATAGATGTGACGTGGTATCTCATTGCATATACCCATAAAAATATAAGACATGGTTTTGCTGAGAGTTACATGCAGAACACTTATCTTCCCAAAAAGTCAATATTAAGATATCACAGTAGGTTCTAAAGATATATCTTGTTTTTATTACTTAAAATGTGTTACACTGCATGGCTTACATGTATTAGACATGATAGCAATCAATGTGATTATTTGATCATTGGTAATACATGAGGGCCAGAAAATAGCCATCGTGAAGGACTCAGCCTTCCAAAGGTCAAGGTCAAAGGAAAACGGAATTGTCCATGTGGGCAGAATATCAAACCCATGGCCGACTTTTGTGCAGCCCTAATGTGTGCATGAATGTGTGGGTGGAAGGGTACAGGGTCTGGCACAAATAACACCCCTCTTTATTACAAACTCATGAGCATATAATTCTGAAACAACACTATCACACTCGAGCACACCATAGGACATGTTAGGTGACATGTTCAAATTAAAACTATATATTATTACACCCATATGATTACCCTATCAGCCACACTCAAGAAGGCCTTAGTTCTGCCAGCACACACACACACACACACGCACACACACACGCATATATGTATGTGTATATATATATGCACATAAAATATATAATGCATGTTTATGTACGTATGTTGCAATAGGTGATAGGTACATTAATAGACAAATTGTCTAATCTATAAAAGCTAATAATAGTTTAACCTTGTCACTTTCTTCTTCAAACATCTGGCTTAAACATTTCCTTAGAGCTATTATGTCCAAACAAAGGGCGGTGTCATCTTCAGAACTAACACGCTAGAACAATCCCCATAAAAGTCCAGGCCCGCTCAACGATGCCTGCCCCTCACTGCTGTTTACGCAGCCTGCCCACCGACACCCACGGGGAGTCTGACGTCTGCCCGGGGTCAGGGCGGC